TACTGAGATATCAGTTTTTCTACAAAATCCGAAAACAGTCTTTCGAGCATTTCGTGCGTAAGAGTAGATGTGGCCGGATAATGGTAGCACCATAAGATGCGCTAGATTATACATAGTGAATTTCAACTTTTTAGGTCTATTACTTCCTGAGATTTCAGCGACTTTAGTTCTTCGTGATTTGTGGCCGTTAGAGTAGGCGTGGCCGTATTCTTAAGTCTAACTTTCTAGCGCTTTTAGATCCCGGCGTTATTGCATTTTCGGTTTTCCGGGTTTTGTGGACGTTAGGGTGGGCGTTGCTAGATGGATGAAAAACCATACGCATTTGGGGCATCATAAAAACCTACATGCTTAATCCCAGTATCCCAGAAAACGGTTTTTCTACAAAATGCGAGAACAGTCTTTCGAGCACGGTGGGGGTAAGAGTGGGTGTGGCCGGCTAGTGGTTCCACCATTAGATGCGCTGGCATCCCAAGATTATACTTAGTGAATTTCAACTTTCTTGCCCTAATAGTTCCTGAGATTTCAGCGATTTTAGTTTTCGAGATTTGTGTACGTTAAAGTAGACGTGGCCGGATTAAAACTAGTGGAAAGTTGCAGTGGCATCTATTTAATACATATTCTTAAGCCTAACTTTAAAGCTCATTTAGGTCCCGAGTTTTTTTTATGTTTGTTTTCCCAAGATTAAACATAGTGAATTTCAACTTTCTTGCTCTATTGGTTCCCGAGATTTCAGCGATTTTAGTTTTTCGTGACTTATGGGCGTTAGAGTAGGCATGGCCGTATTCTTAAGCCTACCTTTCTAGCTCGTGGCATGTTGCAGAGGCATCTCTTAAATACGTATTCTTAAGCCTAACTTTCTAGCGATTTTAGGTCCCGCGTTCTTTGCATTTTTGGCTTTCCGGGTTTTGTGAGCGTTAGGGTGGGCGCGTCTAGATGGAAGAAAACCCATTCGCATTTCGGATAATGGTAAAACTATAAGATGCGCTGGCATCCAAAGATTAAACATAGTGAATTTCAACTTTCTTGCTCTATTGGTTCCCGAGATTTCAGCGATTTTAGTTTTTCGTGACTTGTGGGCGTTAGAGTAGGCATGGCCGTATTCTTAAGCCTAACTTTCTAGCTCATTAGGTCCCGAGATTTTTGCATGTTTGGTTTTCCAAGTCTTGAGGGCGTTAGGGTGGGCGTGGCTAGATGAAAGAAAAACCATTCGCATTTGGGGCATCATAAAAACATCCGTGCCTAATTCCAACTTTCTACCACTTACAGTTACTGAGACATCATCTTTTCTACAAAATGCGAAAACCGTATTTCGAGCTTGGTGGGGCCGGATTATGGTACCACCATAAGATGCGCTGGCATCCCAAGATTTAACATAGTAAATTTAAACTTTCTTGCTCTATCGGTTGCCGAGATTTCAGCGATTTTAATTTTTCGTGATTTATGGGCATTAGAGTAGCCATGGCCGTATTCTTAAGGCTAACTTTCTATCGCTTTTAGATCCCGGCGTTATTGCATTTTCGGTTTTCCGGGTTTTGTGGACGTTAGGGTGGGCGTTGCCAGTTGGATGAAAAACCATTCGCATTTGTGGCATCATAAAAACCTACATGCTTAATCCCAGTATCCCAGAAAACGGTTTTTCTACAAAATGCGAAAACAGTCTTTCGAGCACGGTGGGGGTAAGAGTGGGTGTGGCCGGATAGTGGTTCCACCATTAGATGCGCTAGCATCCCAAGATTATACTAAGTGAATTTCAACTTTCTTGCCCTAATAGTTACTGAGATTTCAGCGATTTTAGTTTTCGAGATTTGTGTATGTTAGAGTAGGCGTAGCCGAATGAATACCCGAGGCTAGTTGTAGTGGCATCTCTTAAATACGTATTCTCAAGCCTAACTTTCTAGCTTATTTAGGTCCCGAGATTTTCGCATGTTTGGTTTTCCAAGTCTTGTGAGCCCACCCTGGGCGTGGCTAGATGGAAGAAAAACGATTCGCATTTGGGGCATCATTAAATCCTACATGCTTAATCCCAACCTTCGATAACATATAGTTACTGAGATATCAGATTTTCTACAAAATGCGAAAACAGTCTTTCGAGCTTGGTGGGCGTAAGAGTGGATGTGGCCGGATAATGGTAGCACCATAAGATGCGCTAAATTTATACATAGTGAATTTCAACTTTTTAGGTCTAATAGTTCCTGAGATTTCAGCGATTTTAGTTCTTCGTAATTTGTGGGCGTTAGAGTAGGCGTGGACGTATTCTTAAGTCTAACTTTCTAGCATTTTTAGTGGGTGTTAGGGTGGGCGTTGCTAGATAGAAGAAAATCCATTCGCATTTGGGGCGTCATAAAAATCTACATGCTTAATCCCAACCTTCGATCACTTATAGTTACTGAGATATCAGTTTTTCTACAGTATGCGAAAACCTTCTTTCGAGCTCGGTGGGCGTAAAAGTGGGTGGGGCCGGATAATGGTACCACCATAAGATGCGATGGCGTTCCAAGATTAAACATAGTAAATTTCAACTTTCTTGCTCTAATAGTTCCTGAGATTTCAGCGATTTTAATTTATCGTGATTTGTGGGCTTTATAATGTCTTGATCGGAAAAAAACAGTTTGCATTGGGAGCATCTTAAAAACCTACATGCTTGATCCGATCTTTTCAGTTATCGATAACGGGTATAATAAGAACAGTCAAATTGTTCAGCATCAGTTCGTCAGGAGCATCAAATTATACACCACCATCATCATGGGCGTAATAGCCGGACAATAATTATGCGTCACTGATGGTGTAGTGTTAAAACAGTAGGTGAAATATTTCAACCATATGTCCCAATCACTTTTGTCACTTGAAATATATGAACGGAGATATTCGTTAAACGTTCGGTGACTGCGTCCAATAGTCCCTAAGGTTTTATGGTGGTCTGCAGTGGATGAAATTTTGCCAATTTTCATTTATTGGCATATGTCTCCTATTATACTGTTCTTATACTCTGTGCCCATGTCTGTTAGAATAATCTTCATTGGGCCGTAAACGAGTATAGTTTTCAAAGATTGCTTTCGGAACTTTTTTACTTAAATCACAAATAATTGTGACTGGGTACCAGTTGGAATTGTTTTATGTTTTGCATTCCGGCCTGTATCTCAAGCCTTTGGAAAAATTGTTTTAAATCAATTTTCCCATTAGAGTACAAATCATCAATTTTGAATTGTAAAATTATTCGTTTTCCTCGTTTAAACAACACTTATGTTTGACGAATTTAAGTTTCACAGATTTCCTGATGTCATTGAGATTGTAGACTCTGGGCTCCTGAAGCTATTGCTTCTGCAAGGGTTCTTTTTCTGGTTTCTGATCCTGATTTTTACGTGTTTCTGACCTGGTTGTAATTTTCATTACCTGTCTGTTTATTGAGTTTAGGAGACAGCGCGTTCTGGACAGCGCGCCACATAATTATATTTCCCTTGAGGCATTCCGCAGTAAAATCGTATATTTCCAAATCAAGAATCATTCTTGTTAATTTTGAACTAAGGTCTTTCATTGAAAATAGATAAATTAATGGTCGATGTTTTGTTATAAAACTTCTCCCGTAAACGTATGGTCTGAAGTATTTTATGGTCCAGTGGATGGCTGCTAATTCTTGTTCAGTAGTTCACTTGTTGGATTCTCCTTTTGTGAGTGATCGAGGTGCATATGCAACTGGTAAGTGCGCGCCCCCATGTTCTTACGTAAGTACCAGAGAACGGCAAGGGTACACCCAGACAATGAGTGCACTCGAATCATTTGTGCCTTTTCGGCACTCAGAGTTTGATCGGCACCATAAAATAAGGGTGTGTGTCTTGCACAGCTCATTTCGAATGTGCACTTGCGCACTAGTACTCTTTTGCACAGACACCCGACACACTCATAGCTAATGAAGGAAGTGTCTGAGACACCCATGTTCAAAATATTCGAGTGTAGAAAAGTATATTTGTAATAATAAAAATTATTGCCGTCTTCAATAACTAATATTAAAATATAAGAGTTTATAATCATTACAAGTGATTAGTCTTCAATGACAAAGTCTTAAAAAACCCAAAAAAAACTTACATTGAATCAATATTTTAGGATTTTCCGTGTCTTCATCAAGACATCTACCTATAAACTTATTACCGTTTTGTGCAGATGCATATAAGAATACAGATCAAAAGTCAATTGCACTGCGAGGTAGATGACCTGACACGGAAAATCCTTAAATATTTGGCCTTTTTTAAGAGACCATTATTGCGATTTCCTTCTATCCTTTCATGTAAAATTATTCGGTCAACTCTCAATGACCTGCCCATGCAATACAGCTGAAAACACCCGAAACACTCAGATCAGTTGAAGACACCCGACACTAGTGACTAGTGACTTCTAGTGGGCTTGCGAACCCTAAGAAATCTTCACTGGTATCTTCCTTAAAAATATCAGCCAACGAATTATCGTGGACGCCTGTGTAGGCAATTTTTAAATTTGCCTCTATTGGTTCTTAAACGTTCTCTGGTATATGGAAAACATTGTCATATTTTTGGAGAGCTTTTCTTACAATAGATATAAACTGATTATGTATTAGTATTACTTGACTTTCATGACAAGTAGATACTGATTCTCGATTCTTATTGCTATCACTCTTCTTACTTTGTTGGCGTTTATGATAATTTCGCCCAAATGTTTTTCGAGCGTTTCTTTTGTTATGTGTGTATTTTTTTTAACACACTTATAACTTCTCAAAATCTCGGTCTTTTTATTAGCTAAGAATTTTTCCAGTCCTAACCATTGGCTACTCATTAGCCTGATTAGCATTAATTATGCTGATTTTGAATTGTATGTTTTTAGCCAGTATTTCGTTGCGGTCGATAACAGATTCAACTTTCACTTGAGGAATATGCCTACTTCTGTAAACAAACTCTGGGTGTTCTATAAGTACCCTGTCTAAAGCATCCTTAGTTGTAAACATTTCTCTGTACCGCTATGATAAAATTTGTCCCTTAGTTTTAAAAGCTTGTATTTAATATTTAAGTTCTTTGATAAAAATATGAGTAATCGATTATAACTTTCCGGTGCTTACGTTCCGATAACCGATAGCCGATAAATTAAAAGAATCTGCTACTACGAGTAGTTTTTTTATTATCTTTTCTACTCGATAACTCTAAATAAATATTAGTTTTTTATATTTGTCGCCTTGTGAAGTGCGGAGTTGCGGAGTTAAGTCCGGGAGCCTCCTTGGCCCATTCGCTCCTTGGGTTCCAATCGGTGTCATCGAGGCGTAAGATCCCACGAATGGCGATGCAGTTGCCACGTTGTGGATGCTCCCGCCCGGTAGCACGAATCCATGCGCTGTCTGCGCAGCACGTGTAGCACACAGTGGGTTGCTAGTCGTTAGTAACGGTGGTCCACTCCAAGATGGCGGCAGCGTGTAGGTCCCACTGGTCGCAGCGAAACTGCTATTTGGGACCGGCCCGACCCCGTTAGTTTGGGCCTCACCGTTCGATGTGGCGGTTAATGAGGCGGCCAATGGCGGTTCGCTCCACGATGGCGGCCGCTCCGACGCTCCACTGTTAGCGCCATTTGCGCTTGGGCCAACTGCGATTGGCGCGCAATTGGCGGTGCTCGTTGTGTTCATGGCTCTAACCTGCTTCAGCTCATTCTCCAACGCCGTGATCCTATCCAAAAGGTACGCCGTGGGTGGCTGGCCCACCTCCGGCTCTGAGCTCTCAGCTGCTGTTACAGTACTCCTTGGTTGGGACGCTACTGTAGTCGCTGTAGTGGCTGGGCGAGAAATGGCCGCCGCCGTGGTTATGTTAACCCCTGGCCGGTTTTCTGCTGCACTACTCGCTGGCTGCTGCGTTGTTGTAGGGGTGGCTTCCCCTCCGTTCAGCCGGGAACTCGTCCTGAGGGAATGCTGCATCTCCAAATAAATATGGCGCTGCCCTAGCGCTCCAAAATGGCGGACCTGTGCCGTCTGGCTGCTGCCGCTGATGCTCGGCGCTCCTTGCGCCTCCTGACCGCTGGTGCTTGGCGCTCCTTGCGCTTCCTAACCTGACGCTGGCTGCGTCTCCTGAACTGACGCCGGCTGCGTCTCCGTGTCGCTGGCTGCGACTCCGTCCGTACTCATTGTTTGGCGCTCCTTGCGCCGCTATGTCACTGGCTGCGACTCCTCTGCTGGTACGGGAAATGCGCTCCGTGCGCTCCTGGTAACTCTCTAGCTGGTCGTCAAGCCGTCCTCCAGCGCAAGTTGCCCTTGCAGTCTCCCTAGGACTGTGAATAAAAGATGTCGTCTTGTGAAGTGCGGAGTTGCCTTAAACGGCTCCCCCCACGCGTAGGTGTAAAGAAAGGTGAACTTCAAAGGAATATGGTTATGGCGTACGGAACGTTTTATTCTGTAAATTCATTAAATTAGTTTACAATTCAAATATAGCTCTTCTTCTTACCGCAGTGTGCCCTCCTACTATTCACAAGACAGTGAAAAGGCACTTTCCGGCGGCAATCATATAACCGCGATTAATAAGCCCGTACTTCAATGGGCCAAAAATCGGATGACTTAAAAAATACTAAATTTCCCATTAATACTGACTTAACTATCGATAACAATGTTTTGACCGTCGACAATATTATATTCGAAAACAGAATATATAAGCTGAATACAAGAAATCTTAAAAACTTGGCTATTATTTTAAGTTCTTCTTGCGAACTCATAGAAAAAGAAAGAGCCCCCTGCAGCTTTGAAAGCTGTATATTATGAAACACAGCAACTGATACAACTCGGACCTTATATGTAAGATAAAGCACCAGATTGGGCACTGAAACGTTACACGTATTAAAAAGAAAACGTTCAAGAAACAAAGCAACATTTTGCGCTCTGTTACGAAGTTTTTCTTTAGTGCGTCTGTGAACTACATCTATCAGCTTAAAAGCTGCAAGGGGCTTAAGGAGATATAAAAGGATTAGATCCCTCCATCCCGGTATCTGACATTGCAGAAGGTCTGAAAGAACGGGGTTTCGAGGTCAAACTTGTTACGAAGTAGTGTATATTTATTAGTAAGTAGTTTATAGAGATATTATAAATTAAAATATTTAAGTGAATCTTAAGTGAATCAATCACAACTCTCTGAATATGTCAACTGACTCCCTATATCTCTCTCTCACTACCGAACGCAAGCCGGTGCTTGCGTTCCGATAACCGATAGCCGATAAATATAAAGAATCTGCCACTACGAGTAGTTTTGTTATTATCTTTTCTACTCGTTAACTCTACATAAATATTAGCTTTTATGTTATATTCGAAAACAGAATATATAAGCTGAATACAAGAAATGGTGGTGGCTATTTTTTTAAGTTCTTCTTGCCGTACTTGGCGATCTCATAGAAAAAGCAAGAGCCCCCTGCAGCTTTGAAATCTGTATATTAAGAAACACAGCAACTGACACAACTCTGACCTTATACATATGTAAGAAAAAGCACCAGATTGGCCACTGAAACGTTACACGTATTAAAAAGAAAACGTTCAAGAAACAAAGCAACATTTTGCGCTCTGTTACGATGTTTTTATTCAGGGCGTCTGTGAAAGCCGATAAATTAAAAGAATCTGCCAGGTCAAACTTGTTACGAACAGCAAAAATCGTACAGTCCCTACATAAGATCGAGCTAGCGCCCGAGTGCACAAACCCCAAGAAGTACTCAATTCACCCCATTTATGAGCTTCAGTACCTTCTCCATTGTAGATTTAATGTATAGGAGCCTCATAAAAGAAACGGTCTTGTCCAGCACGTGAACTGCTAGGAATATTTTTCTGTCGTTAAGGTAGGACTCTAAAAGCTTGTGGGTGTTGTACGGTAACATTGTCTTGATCTTGTACATTATACCTTTTAGCCGGACTCTATTAAATGCTTGAGAGACATCTAAAAATATGGCAGTACAGTAATCTTATTTTTCGAACGCGTTCCCAATTTCGGATGTTATCCGGTTGACCTGATCAATTGTTCCGTGCTTTTCACGAAACTCAAATTGATGTGACAGGATTTCATCTCGGATTCTCAGCTATGTGTTTATCCGGGTCAATACGCATTTTTCAAAGAGCTTAGATAAGCAAGAGAGTAGGCTTATAGGTCTATACCACGTGGGGATTTTGTGGTCTCGGACACGAGTGATGAGTGTCAAGAGAGACGAGAGTTTAGTTTTAAATAAGTGAGCGAGCAAGACAGACGTGTGTTAATAAAGAAATGAAATAAAGCGAATTTAAGTACACTAAAGTGCGGGTCTATTACTTGATATCACGGGTCGTTACAATTATAATGGACTTTTCAATCGCACTGGAAAGTGGCCAAGTTTTGCGATGGCATTGAAAAGCTGTTTGATAAAACAAACGGTGCAATATAGGAGCTCAATGATCACTTTGGGAGTTATGAGGTCGCAGCCCGGGGATTTTTTCGGATTCAGTAGACTTTTGATGGTGTTAACGATTTCGTTTGGGCGAAACTCAATTGGCTCATGTTGAGACTGAGGCTTATATGGTAAAGTCGGCAAAGTAAACGCACTAGTGGCAGGATTTGGTTGAAAGACATTTTTAAGGTGAATGGCAAACGTGCTGGCTCTGTCTGCGTCACTGCGTGCTCAGCCGCCTGTGCAATTTCTAATAGCAATCACGGTTTCTTAGCTTATTTTAAGGTTTGAGCTCAACCTTAAAGAATGCTGCTGCTTTCTACGCATGTTAAGAATATTGAAGACTGTCTTAGCGCTAAATCCCTTCTCTTGTACCGCCTTTGTTATCTCTGCAGGCGTTACTTCGGACTGTATGCCCTTAAGTACGACTTGATGGCCCTTGCTGCTTTTTAGCTGACTCGTGTACAAGTTATTTTTATTCTCGGTAATATATATCGATAATACTCTGTAATTATCTTCAGGCTCCATTTGAAGTTTTGTTTCCTGGATGTTGCTCCTTACAAGGGGTATTTTGTGGAAATTATCCTAGACAATAAGCTCAATAATTTTATTGGCAAGAACATTGGAACTTTTTTCTCGTATATAAATAGGCGTGGGCTAAGGTTTTCTCGACTTCAGTAGGCTCGTCCGCCTCAACCTCATAGTATTTATGAATACCGACAAGCTATTGCACTCTATGTCCAGTCTGCGTGGTCTGCGGTGATCTCACAGTACAAAGGAATTCCCATAATACAAAGAATATTCTGCTCTAAGGAAGTATAGCAACTGCGACGGGAACAATACAGGAGCTTTCCAGTCTACAAAGAGCTACAGAACCGACAAACACCGATCGGTATCGAAGCTTCTCTATCTAATACCTAAGAAATCTTTTGGTACTTACTATCTACCGGTCCACTTACAATTTCTGCCGTATACTGCCCTAAGGTTCGCCAACTATAAAAAGGTGAGCATCCACATTGAGCTCGAATGAAATATATCCTGCTCAGCTGATACCGAAAACTCACTTTGACAAGCCATGTTCTCCGCTGACAAAACCTCTATGCCGGAGCCAATGGCCACAACTATCTTAAGAATCACACGATTAAATAGGTAAATTGTGTTAGTCCCTTAGGATAGCGCCGTCTCCGCAGAGAAGCCACTTGCGAGCTCCATCTGCCGTTAAGATCCCAAACAGTTGTATGGGCGTGCAGCGACGAAGAAAAGGCTCTCACCTACAAATGCACCATCCGCCATTAAATCAATTCACTATTTCGAACGTCCTTTCCCAGAGCCCTTTTTTCCAATAATGCCTTAAACCCGCACAAGTTCAAACACCATCGAAAAACAGCTGAACTCGAAAAAACTCCTGACTATGACTATGTTATCCCCCACCCCATAAACAGTTTAAGATTCTGGCACAGAAATCATAACAATGCTTCAATTTGTTGTTGTTTATTAAAATTTCAGAGTTTGTGTTCACAAACACCCCTCCCCCTCTCCTTTTTCTGATCTCGTCTTTTAGAGCAGTTCCTCTCGAAGTGAGTATCAGATCCACATTAACTACAATAAATCTGTTGTGTGTATCCCTTTTTCCGCGTATTATTAAATATCTAAATTTACTGAAAGATGATGGCGTTGAGTTTTTAATATATGTTGCCAATAGCTTAGATATTAAAATAAAAATTGAATAAAAATAAAATAAACTAAAATAAAATAAAAATATTTTAAATTCAAATATAAAAATCTTTTACTTTTTCGCTCCCATATTAACTTAAATAAATAAAACAGATACTTACTTTAATAAAAAAAATGTGTTTATTTTATTGTTCATTTATTTCAGTGTTTTTGTTTTTGTGTCTTGTTTCTAGTTTTCAATATATGATGAATTTATTAATTATTTATCTGAAAACTGTTATAAGGTTATATAGTCTGAAGTACTTTTTGTATCTATATAATAATAATATCATAATTTTTGCTGCCTCCCTTTCGTACTAAAATTTTTTATGACATCCAAAAGTGTCGATTCCTTCCGTAGCTGAGTCCTTACTCCAGATATGTAATATGTTTCCAGGTGTACGCCATGAATGGAAGTTATCATTTTAACTTCTTCACACTCAAGTAGTTTAGAATGAATGAGGAGAAGTCGCAGATAGTGAGAATTTTGTACAACGCCATCAAACTGTTTGAGAAAGAATCTAATTTGATTCGCATACATAGTGTACATCCAAGACATTAAGTTTTAAAAATGATTCTCTTTACCGCCTGCTTGCCGAATTTATTCTAAAATTTTCCAGTTTTCTTCTTCTTTTCTACATTGACTTACTTGTGCAAGTAAGTCTACATATTTCCCTTCCCTTATTCAAAATAAGTAAGACAATAGTTTTTTTTCATTTCACATAATGTTAATTATTGATAATTAATATTTACTAATTATTGATACAATGAAATTAGGCATGCGCATGTTTCCACTCTCGAATCGGTGTTACAGAATGTAAAGTGTTCACCACATTTCATTGTTTTCAGATCTTGTGCACCTTGATTCATGAACTCCATTTTTGCTTTAAGAAGGTATTGGAAATGCTTTTCAAATATCTTCCCATTGAATTGTAGAAACAATGTATCCATTTCTTCAAGAAATTTCATTATTTATCGAAATATTTTTCATTAAACAGGCCATTGAATTGTAGAAACAATGTATCCATTTCTTCAAGAAATTTCATTATTTATCGAAATATTTTTCATTAAACAGGCCTTGTCACAAATGGTCTCAACTTTGAAATGAAGTGAATGCAAACAGATATGTTTTATTTATTTTGAACTTCTTTTAAATAATTTAAGAATGTTGTATGCATTGTTTAGAGCACACAGACCACCTTTGACATGATTTTTAAAATAGGGAAATCTGTTTCCACTAAACCGGTTTAATGACGGACACTGTTTTTCCTCGACATTAATCAAATGGTGCTTTCCAAAAAATGATTGTAGATTCTTTTCGATTCCCTTGAAGATAATTTTTTTTCCAATAGTTATTGCCTTAAGATATCGTCGCGTTTGTGCTAAACTTTCGTTCCAACAAATTTTATGATGCT